TTTCCCCCACGTCACCATGACTGTTTTCTACCTTTTTAAATGTTGCCACCTGATATAAAAACGGTATCATTGTTAAATTTATCATTCCTTAATTAGTAGTGAAGTTGCAAAGTTTTTAAATGTTAGTGAGCTTTTGTGATTTTTGTTCAGTGATTTGCCTGCTCATATCATTTGCCCATTTTCTGTTTTATTAGGGAAGTTTTTTTCTCCTTTGGATGTATCAGATTATATGTTATGGATACTACTCATGAAAATGCTATGTCTGTTAAAATATTTTCTCTTGTCACTTATCATTGAACTTTAATAATGGTGGCATTACAAATGACTTTTAATTCTTATGTGATCACAAGTGAGCTTTTTTCTCTTACATCTTCTTGTTTTTGTTTTGCTTTACAGGTTTTTCAAAATGTTAAAGCTCTGCAAAGATATTTTACTTTATTTGATTGCAATCTAATCATATGGTTTTGTTCAAGTTTAGTCCTTTTGTGCACACAGAATTTATGTTTTTATAGACAAGCAATGATCTTAGCCCCACGTGTTGAAGAGATATTTTTCTTCTCCAGTGATCTGAAACATTAGCTTTATCATGTACCAGTTCCAAAAATACATAGTTATGTGTCTAGATAATTCTATTGTGTTCTACGGTTGATCAAAATCTTAACAGTTCGCAGAAATACATATAATGAATTCGTACCCCTTCACAGAAGGGGAAGGGGAGATCAGAGCTGAGGAATTTACATGAATCCCGTGAGCACATTAACACGTGGGCCTAGGGACCCTTATTCTTTATTTTAAATTCAGTGTTTTTCCTATTCTGCTGCAAATTCTGCTTTGAGACCAACAGGAAAATAGGTCACTTTATTCTCTTTTATCTCGATTCTTTTTCAGTAACAGAGGAGTATTCAGGCTGTAGTAGGTTCCCATGCCAGAACGGGGGCACGTGTATAGACGGAAGAGCTAGCTTTACCTGTGCCTGCCGTCATCCTTTTACGGGCACCAACTGCACGATCAAGCTGGTGGAAGAAAATGCTTTAGCTCCAGGTAAAAAAGCATACGTGTCCGTGGGTCTGTTCCATGTCATGAACAGAAACCTTTTTGAAAATATATACAAATGAATCATTAACACTCTTAATTTGGATCCCCCTGAGCATTGCAGTAGGACTTCTGTAAGTTGACCACCCAAGGGACTCTAACAGACTGCTCACCATGCGGAGGGGGTCGGTGTAAGGTACTAGGCCTGCTGTACTGATAATGTTCCTGTGGTGCGTGTCCGGCCTGTGGAAATTAGAATGATTGAGGAGGTGGCTGATGCAGGGAGGTGGTCCACTGTGGAGGGTCCACTGTGATTCTTTTTACTTCTGAAACTTAGTAAATAACATACCAGATTTACAAGTGGAAATGTCTTTTTGTCGGACAAATCTTATTTATATACACTTGTTGAAATTTTCAATATTGGGACACTAGAGGCAGTTCATGGGAAATTCTAACCCCCATACTGGTCTTCTCTGGTTCACCTTTTTAAAAAAAATACGGGTGCATATAGGTGACTGGTATGAACTCTTTCTCCTCAAACAAGTTGTTCACTAAATACATCTTTGATTCATGTCTGATATGGCCGTTCGAATAAGGCTTTAATCCATGCCTATCAACATGTTCTCTGTGAAGAGTAAGCTAATAGCGTTACTTGGACCATGGGAGAACTGTTAGAATGAGTTCAGGTGGGTGTGGGTTCAGTAAAATAAGATGAGATTTTTGTCCATTTAAATTCATAAGAATTGATTGTTGGAAATTTACCTAAAGAATGCACCATTTCTTACTTTTACACAAGAAAACATGTATAGCAGTTTAAACACTTTCTCTTTAATGAAAGCAAAATTTATATTTTACATCAGGCCTTTCTTAATATCCTGCATAATGAAGAGTAAATTCTCTAGTCTATTTTTAAATCTCAGCCTTTGTGAGCACGCTTGGCATTAATTGCACAGAAAATTGCTTTTGTCTACTTTCCTACAATGAATATGACTTTATTTGGTCTACGTTTTAGCCTCTAGAATCTGCTTGACAAGGTGTTGGAAAAATTGTTTCTACATTATGTCAGCTTCAATTCCTGCAAGGGGCTTTAGAACATTCTGGCGTATAATAATCACAGAGTGCTTAGAATTCTCTCCTCTCTTGGGAGATCAAAGCAACATGCAAATTAATCTTTGAGACATTTCTGTGAGCAATGTAGCAAATTTTATTTTCATTCTATCCTGATGTAAATGGAGAAACTAAAAAAAATAATAATAAATGGAGAAACTGAGGCTCAAAGAGGGTAATTCTGCCAGGAAAAGAGGCAGGCAACCACTCACATATCCCCTCATTCAATTTGACAGATCTTTTTTCTTCTGCTAAGCCTGTGTTATAATTGAGATAAAATGCAAAAGATACGAAGAAAAACAAAATACAAACATGAAAATTAACTCTGGCCATTTTTTTTTCCTCCAACAGATTTTTCCAAAGGATCTTACAGATACGCACCGATGGTGGCATTTTTTACATCTCACACATATGGAATGACGACGCCGGGTCCTATCCGGTTTAATAATTTGGATATCAATTATGGAGCGTCATATACCCCAAGAACTGGAAAATTCAGAGTTCCGTATCTTGGAGTGTATGTTTTCAAGTATACCATTGAGTCCTTTAGTGCTCATATCTCTGGATTTTTAGTGGTGGATGGAAAAGACAAGCTTGCGTTTGAATCTGAGAGTATTAACAGTGAGGTGCACTGCGATAGGGTGGTGACGGGGGACGCCTTACTAGAATTAAATTATGGGCAGGAAGTCTGGTTGCGACTTGTAAAAGGGACAATTCCTGCCAAGTTTCCCCCAGCGACCACATTCAGTGGCTACTTGCTATATCGTACGTAAGTCAGTAGGAAAGACAGACCCGCACCTTGATTGAGAAGGCCCCAGTGCTTTCATTTCTCTGCGTTCACATCTGCTCTGATTTGGTTTTTCTACGTCAAATGAAAACCGAACCAACTTCTCTGATGATCTGAGACAGTTGCCTGTGTAGCTCCTAAAATTATGTGAATATCTTTCGATTAGCCTGTATATGAAGGAGTTCTTTTGGCTCCTAAAGAAATGTAGTGTCACAGAGAAGTGAAAGAGTTAGCATGACAACTCTATTTTTGTTCCTTTAAGTCTTTTTAATGTAATGTAATATTATAAAATGGCAATCATTACAGTATTATCACAATATTATTTTCAACAGAGCACAAGTTTTGTTATCCCTGGGTACGTAAATAAATAACATACATTTCCTAGACTCACAAATCCAAATAAATTACTTACCCGAACACTAACAAATACTTCTTTTAAAGTTTTATTTTTCCTTTTTGCTCTTGAACTGCTTAACTTCATATACTAAAATTTTCATTTGGAATAAAAATTAAGAAAGATGAATTTAACATTTGAAAAAGGCTTAGCTATTGTTCTTTTCCTGTGATGAGAGGATAAGGTAGAAATCAGTAGTTATTTTTGAAGATTTACACTCAGGTCTAAGGGTATGTAAGCAGATCCATCGTATAATGCCTACAGGGAGAAAAACACAACCTTTTTCTAATGAGTATTCTTCTATGGCATGCCAATCAGCCCCTGTTCTCATAAGGGCTAAGTACTCATCTGTGTAATATGCAATTTATGGGATGTTCACTATGCCCTGTTCTCGTCTATGCAATTTACATGTGATGTCTCATTCCTCACTATACCTCTTACAAGGTGGACACTATTACCATTATTTTTATAATAAAAAAACAGAGACACAGAGAGGTTAAGGAACAGACTGAGGTGCACAGCCTGTGAGGACCATGGCATGACTGGAACCAGGTGACATCTTCTCCAGAGCCCACATCCATCTTTTGGCTATATTGTCTCCCACAGGTATATGAAGCTTAATTTAACTAATGCCTTATCAAAGGACATTTAAGTGATCTCCAATTTTTTATTATAACAATATTGATGTAGTATGTATTCTGAAAAATACAATTCTTATATATATGATGAAGTATTGCTGAAAACTAAATTCTAATAAGTAACAATAAAACTAATAACAAAATATCTTGATATGACAAGGATTTTTTTATGAATTAGTGTGTTTAATGCTCACTATAACCCCATGAATTACATATGAAACTATGAAATATAATATGTATTACCTGTTATCATTCTCTTTCTGCCCCTGAGACAGAGGCACACAGAAGTTAAGTAATTTTTCCAATATTATGGCAAATGCTGGAGAATTTCTAGAAATTCTAGAACTAGTTCCATCAATAGGAAAGAGTACTCTTTATCCTCCACACATGCTCATCAAAATTCACAAATTTTTAAATGTTGCCAAACTTGAAGATAAAATAATATCTTCCATTTATAAGAGAAATGAAACTGTTTCAAATTTGCCAAAACATATGTTCATACAAAGACTCACACATCAGTGTTCGTGGTTGCTTTATTTGTAATAACCAAGACCTGGGAACCATCCCCATGTCCAGCAGCAGACAGAGGGTGAAGCACACTGTGATGGGTGCACACAGTGGGGTGTACCAAGGTGCACACAGTAGGGTGTACCAAGAATCAACACATCACAATATCCAAGAATCTCACAATACGTCTGCAGAAGATGATTTCAAACTGCAGCCTGACAAACCTTGGTCAGTCTTGCAAAAGAACTCTTTTTTTTTTTGGCCGGGACTGGGTTTAAACCCACCACCTCCAGCATATGGGGCCAGTGCCCTACCTCTTTGAGTCACAGGCACCACCCTGCAAAAGAACTCTTAGAGTGAGTATTATCAATTAGAATCCCCCATGTGGAATCAAAGTAATGGCTCTACACACCCCAGCTTCACTTGACACTAGATTTTAGCTGCCAGAAAAGAGTGTTACCTACAAGCTCACAACTGGAGGCTGATTCCTGACAGTTTTTATCTTTTTATGTATAAATGTGTTATTTTCAAAAAGTTTGAAACATTTTGACAATTTCTTCAGCCCCTGACTATAAATTCACTATAATCTAGAATATTTTTCACTTTATTGCTTCAAGTAATATAGATTAAGATATAGGTTTTGCTTTCCAAATATATTTTCAATATGTATTTCTGTGATTTCAATATGTCAGTTTCCTTTAATATGACCAGAACAGAAGGAAGTAAATCCTTTGACAATGGATTATTGTCATTATTATTATAATAATTTAATGATAAATTATTATATATACAACAAATAATATCAAATAAATCAGTACAAAAAAATGTTACATTTGAAATACATTGTCCGAGTTCATGAGACATTTACCACCACCAGAATCATGAGTAGCTCTATAAGAATGGAAATTTTATCAATAATAGTAACCCTTACCAGTTTCCATTGCCACCTTTTAGATAATTCCAGTCCAATTGAAAGACTTCATCTTCAAAGCCTGGTGTGCCTAAAAGTATTTCTCCTTACTCTCTTTCACCAATCAAAACTCTCATTTTGGAAGAATGGGCTAAAATAATTTGTGTATTAAGAAATGATTCAAATAAGCCACAGTGATTTCCGGTTGGTTTATCTATTTCATCCTCTTCGAGGATATTTTTTGCTTGCTGTTCATCTATTTCAGAATATAAATTTACTAACTCATATTGGAAACCTAATGAGACTTCGTCATTATCTTCATCAAAGGCAGTGTTTCGTGTAGCAAAATTTTCCTCTTTGTTGAAAACTTGCCTCTCAGGACCCGTGGGACACGATGAAGCCAGAAAATACAGGCCTGCGGGTCCTGGACCCCCATAGCAGAGCTGGGAAGGCAGAGGCGTGTGCTGCCCTGTGGTTTCCAATCCAGGGTTTCCTCCGTAAGCTGGGGGTGTGATTAAGCACCTTCTCTCCAGTGTTTTTGCCACAGCTCAGTGAGAATTCTCAACCAGCTTTACCACATTTGCGTTCAGAGAAAACAGTAAAGTAGTATTCATTTCTCTGGGCTGACATCCTAATTAAACAATCTAAAACTCTGGAAGAAGTCCAAATGTGGGGGGGGGGTCTTATTATTTTTATTCACAATTTGCTTCATGTGCTGTCAAAGCTCAGGCTTTAGTCAAGGTATTTTCAGATACCAAGTATCTTAAGTCAGCTTGGGCTGTCATTAAAAAAGTCCCCTAGACTGGGTCGCTTACGCAGACATTTATTTCTCAAAGTTTTGGAGGCCTGGAAGTCCAAGATCAAGGTCCCAGCAGATTTGGTGAGGTCCCTCTTCCTGGCTTACAGAAGGCAAAAGGCTGCCCTCTCACCAGGCCCATCATGGCCCAGGGAGGAAGGTGGGGAGGGAGCTGGAATGCCTGGTGAGCGAGCAGAGAGCACGTGAGTCATGTCTCTTTCTCTTCTTATAAAGACGCTAATCTCATCAAGTGGGCTCCACACTCCTGACCTCATCTAAACCCAATCAACTCCAAAAGCCCCCCCAATACCAACATATTAGGTGTTAGAGCTTCATCATAGACATTTGAAGGGGGAGAAGGGGTACAAACATGCAGCCCAATATCCTAAGTACTGAATTGAATAAGATTTAGAGTGGTGGCGTAAGCATTATTTTCATAACTTATTATTTTGAAATATTTATTTATTCATTTATTTATTTTTTGAGATAGAGTTTCACTATGTCACCCTCAGTAGAGTACTGCAGTGTCACAGCTCACAGCAACCTCAAACTCTTGGGCTTACGCGATTCTCTTGCCTCAGCCTCCCAAGTGGCTGGCACTACCAGCACCTGCCAAAATACCCAGCTATTTTTTTGTTACAGTTGTCCTTGCTGTTTAGCAGGCCTGGGCCAGGTTCGAACACACCAGCCCTGGTGTTATGTGGCCAGTGCCCTAACCACTGAGCTATGGGTATAAGCCTATTTTCATAACTCTTAAAATATCAGTCTATACTAGATCCTGCTTGCAATGCAATGTCCTGTTAGATTCAAATAAATATTTATGTCAAGCCCGCTAAGACAGTGAGAATGCCACATGACATAATCTTGGGGTTGGTGTTTCGTACGTACATTATTTGGATTCCATTACTTACTTGGGTTTCCAATTTTTTGGATGCAAATCAATAATTATATTAAGCCTACTCAAATTAGCTGCAAAAATATTACGTAACACCACCTGAGGGATAGTAGTCTACTCTCTTCGAACACGAATGAAGAAATTGAATTACTGAATTATTCCCACCAGGACGTGGACTATTACAGATAGTTCCTAATGTTTTTCTTTGGTAATTTATTTCCTCTCATTTATATTTGCTCACTATCATCACCCTCAAACGTTGAATTGTCCACAATATGTATAAAGAGGACCACATGTACGTTTCTTCATCTATGTGAAATTTATGGATTAAGTAACAGTAATTTATCAGAAAAATATATGTACAAAAACGCTAAACATTTGTCCTACCTCACCCTCTCTAAAAATGATTTAAGGTGGCAGATGTATAATTGGTACTGAGAAAAAATTAAACTTGGACATGCACCTTTAATTTCCATTTACACATCAACTGGGCCAGAAACATGTACTTTCCTTATCCTGATTTTTTTAGTTATATTCACATGCACTAGTTTTCATGATTTGTCCAAGTAATCTTGCTATTGACAAAGAACCACCTACAAAGATACCCCACAGCCTCAATCTCGCTTTCAATTCCTTACTCTCCCCTTTCCCCTATTTCACCAGTGTAGGTTTGCTAATGAACAAGTTTAGCGAGCGCTCTCTCTCTCTTTTTTCCTGCTGAAGAGGGAGCTAACTAGTGTGGAAATTATTCATATTATTTCACCTACTATTGTAGTAGGTGAAATTCAAGACCCTCCAGAGACTAAATATCTTTTTAATGTGATGTTTGTTGCTCCTTCTGAATCTTGCCATTAAATCTTTTGAATCATGGTTCTATTTCATA